TCGCATCGAAATAAATTGGCACCAGTTAAAGAGCCGTCACCTCCAATTACAACTAAGTTTGTAATATCGTTTGCAATAAGATTTTTAGCTGCCTTGAGACGCCCTGATCGTTCAAAAAATTCTTTACAACGAGCTGAGCCAATTATTGTTCCACCTCTTTGAATTATGTTTGACACAGACTGCCATGTAGCTTGTGTTATATTTTCCCCACCATCTACCATCCCTTGGTATCCCTCATGGATAAAATATGGCTATAAGATAAAATAATAAAAAAACACTACGTTGAGTTCATAGTATAAAATTTAGTAGGTAATAGCATACCTGGCAGCCAAGATAATATCCAACTCTGACGCATGCACGAACTGCTGCATTCATGCCTTGTGAATCCCCTCCACTTGTGAACACAGCAAACACTTTCCCTGCGTATTTATTCTTCTCTATATCATCATATTTCACACATTCATTTTCCATTTTTTAGATATTGAACTTTGTTAAAGTTATAGTTCTTAAATATTAAATATATATATATGATTTTTGAGATGTGTCGCTAACATCTCAAATGTGAAAAATATCAATTATCAAAAATAAAAAATTTTTTTTAAAATATATAAAATTTTTTTTAATTTAAAAAATGAAAGTTAGTTCACAAATCCATTTTCAGAGTTCAAAGACTGCTTATATAAGTTTGATAATATAAAGTTTATCTTTGGTATATTATATTGTTGTTGTTGTTGTTGTTGCGATTTGAGTTAGTGCTATTGCGCACTTTTACTCTTTAGTGGCTGGGGGGTTTATCCCTGCCCCACACTAAGCTTTAACTATACTAGAATTATTATCATTTATTTATCTTCTAACTGATGATGGACTGTAGATCAGCATATCTTCCCGTATATAATGTAAAACATTTTGAAATATAATACATTAGGAAATTATATTGGCGTATTTTAATTGACGTATTATGGTTAGATCCTTAATCCATTTTTACAGAAGCAATAAATTAAAAAAACTTAAATATTAAAAATTGACTTAAAAATATAAACAGCCTATTATAATATTGAACATTATTATTTCCAAAATTTTTAAAGTTCCAATATATTCTTATTTCATTTTCCAGTCAGTTTCAATATAATAAGTTGGAACATCCTTAAGTTTTGTCGGCGGTAATTTTTTACTATTTACTAAACTGATCACAAATTCATTGAACCCTTCACTCGTTCAATATGAGTCTAAATTTGGTAGTCCGGTAAGATGATAGAACTATGAAGTTAGGACTTACTATACGTTCTTCTTGGTTGCTGTTAGGTAGTGCTGAAGCTTCACTATTGAATTATATATTAATATAAGAAAATAATTTGTTAAAGATGCTACAAACATTGTAACTCATCAAATAAATTAAGATAGTATCGCCAAGTAAGATAGTCTGAAAGATTATGTTTTTCTTGATTGTTGATGGTTGTGCTAAAAGATATATTAACGGAACATTCTTAACAAAAGCTTCAAGGGTTTCATTTTATGAATATTTTTAAATTCTTGTTAAGGTCTTCTTTAGCATTTTTAATAAAGTTTTCAAGATTTTTTTATTACAACATTAACACAGATGCTTTACAGTGGCATTTTTAAGGTACAAAAGTGCTAAAGTAAGGGGATAAAAGTAAATAACTTTTAATTCAATAGTACTTCTTTATTACTATTATTACTATCTTTATTACTATGTTTATTATGATATAGGCCCAATTAAATTAATTTAACGCATTAAATATTGTGATAACTAAATGCAACTGTCAATATTATTTAAGTTTGATAGAGTGTTGTTTTAAAAACCTCTTTGACGTTTGTGAAGTGTCAGAGAGAGTGAGTTATTCACAGATCACAAGTTTTTATATTCAAAGTTTTTTATTTTGATTTCGATCACGTTTCATACATGTAATATAAAAGTCGGACACAGGGATTTAATGTTGTATATATTTATTAATGATATACGAAAATATATATTTTCTAAAGTCCAGTCAATAATCTTTATTATAAATTTGTTGGAATTTATTTAAAAACAATCACATCGTTTAAAAACTGTTTGTATGAAATCAGCTTCATCCATTACATACATCATACAACATAAATTTCATACAATGTTGAAGATACTGGATATGATATTAAATTGTTATTTGAGTTTACCTTATATATAATTTAAATCTTAAGAAACGAATTCATCCGCTGTTGCTTACCACCAACAAAATTAAATTATAACGTCAGCTGTTATAGATAATATTGAAAACATCAAAGTTTTTAATATTATTAAACAAAATACGAAATATTTTGTCATCCGGCTTTAAGAGATCTCATGCTGCCACTGAATCGTAAACTAGAATAAATAACTTATATAAATTACATTGTTACTGGTCTTTTATAAAATTGTATTGAATACCAATTAACGAAGTCCATAAATGTGCTTGATTTTATTGTAACGGGATTCATTTAGGTCTAGTGATCCCTTGTACTACCATATAAATATCACACCTCTTAAAAATTTCCGGACCTTTTAATCAAATCTAAAGTACCCAAGGAAGACTTTCTACATTCCTGGATTCTAGAAGATTTTGTAGACGCAAAACCTGTTACACATTAACTGGATAGTGACAAGGAATAGTAGTGACAAAAAGTATTTTGGAGAAAGTTTTATTTTTATGCATAATTTTCTAAGCAGTGACGGGAAAATTTAGTATATAAGGGTGATTTCCTATCAATATTTTGAGGAGATTACTAGTTTTTTTTTATTTAAGAGCAGACACTTGCATATAGTTATGTGCTGTTGAATCATCTAATCTTATAATAAAATGATGAATACGAAAATATTTGCATGATGCATCGGTTTGTACAGATATTTAGAATGTATCCCTGACACTCCTATCTGACTATCTAGGACAGTTTAGTACATAAATTTTAAAGGGAATCGAAGGATTCGATTTTAATCAAAACGCATATGGAGTAATGCAGCAAAACAACAGAAAAATTTTACAATTAATTAAATTAAGTAAAAATTAAAGTTAAAATTTTAATGCTAAAAAATACCAAATAAAAATTGGATAAAATTTAAACCTCTTGTCTTCAAAATTTTTATTTTTATTTTGCAAAATTTTAATTTGTAAATATTTATTTGATTTTATTATATAATATATAAAAAGTTTTATGACTCGTACCATGACTTTTTCATCCAATTTGATCCTTTACAAGGTTCATTAAGAACAACAAAAGAGTCTTGGTTATCTGGACTGTACTTGCTCTTTGGACATTTAGTAATATACTTTGGATTTCCCTCGATAATTGTGGAATTTCCACGGCAGTTAGATGCATTTCTCAACACTGACGCACGTCTTCCGAATTGGGCTGCATTTTTTACACTCACCCCGACATTTTCAAAAAAGTTACTTTCGTTCGGCAGTTTGTGTCCATCTATTAGGGAAGTTTGACGACACCGATTACTACGTTTCTTTTGAATGTCTTTTCCTTCAATCGTTGAGGTCGTCGTATATTTTTTGGTTGCATATTTTGGTGGTATGTATTTCTTGGAGTTACCTGTAACAACTGCAGGCGTTCGCTCGCGTAACTGATAGTTGTAGTGTGCTCGCCTATATTCAGGTGTGAAAGTTATATCAGTTTTGAGGTCAATATCCTCACTGATTTGATGTTTAGGTGAGTTTGATTTATTTTTATACTTCGGTGAGTGCATTGAAGTCTTCGTTCCTACGGTAGTTATTGTATTCGAGATAGGCAGGCGAAAGGATGATGTTGGCTTTTTGGTGATTGGTCGGGAACGTGGAAAGTCTAAGTAGGTATTGCGGTATTCTGGATTAAATTCGATCTTTCCCTTGAGTCGTAAATATGGTTCACGACATTTACCACGTTCTGGTATGTCCTTTACCTGTGGATCTTGAAAACTTTCATGATATTCGGGCACGTCTTTAGTGAACTCTCCAAGTGGTCGCAAATGATCACCGGTTTTGAGTAGCTTTTCTTTGCAAATATTCTTAGGAGGGTTGCAATATTGTTCTCGATATTCAGGTTGACTTACATTGAAATCCACGTTTTTCATATCTTCGGCACCAGATACATTTAAGTTATCTATTTTTTTAATTGGTGCACTTTTTGAATAGTTTGCGTACATTTTGAAGCTGTCTTGATACTCTGGCACACCATAAAACTTACCGTGCATTTTAATATGAGTTATTTGTGGTATTGAATGGGCTTTTTCAATTGGATACTGTATATACTGTCTTTTATATTCTGATGGAGTAATTGTTCTTTTAGTTTGTTCTATATGTTGTTGGGGATAAAATTGTTGTTCATCTTCCACTGTACGTTCATTTTTATTTTCATTCTCAAAAGACTTATTGTCCTTCATTTTACTCATTTTATTTTGGGAGTTGACAGTGTTAATTGAATGTTTAACAATAGGATCTGCTTCGATACGAAACATTTCTCGAGGCAATATTTTGGCAGTGCGATCTACCATGGGATAAGTTATGTAAGAAGAACGATGTTCAGGATCCATATTCGTCACTCCACCAACTTGTAAGTTTTCTGGCATACGTATGGGATAAGAACGGCAACTAAAAATAATTTTTGTTTTAAATGAAGTATAAAGTATAAATTAATTTTAGTTTCGACAACACCAACCTTTGCCAATCTTCTGGCTTAAACCAGTGGTATTGCTCCTGGTGTTCTGACTTGTGATGCATAAAACCTTCTAAATATAATGAAGTGGCACGTCTAGAAAGACCTGGTCGGTCTGTTAATTGGAAATGCTCAAAATTTTTTCTGTATTCTGTTTTAAGTGAACCGAACGAAATAGGTGGTTCGTCGATATTGAAAAGACAGATTCCACTTTTGGTGTGTAAGTCTGAACATTTTTAAACATATATGAGAAAAAAACATTTACTCTTATATTTGATATTAATAGTAGATATTAAATATTATTTTGATGTTTGTTTTAACGACATACCTGGCGGTCTTTTACGTCTGAAAAATTTTAAATCGTCCACAGAAATGTATTCAAATGGATGTTTAATAGCGAAACGGTTTTCGAATTTTTTCGTATCTAAATTTGTTGTAACATAAATTATTTCATATATATTCCATGGCTAATAATATAAAGAGTTTACCCCTTGTTAGATCTGGCTCCGAAACTGAACAATTCCAATCGAAACTGCCACTAAAATGTTTATTTAAAATATAAATATATTCACTAGAAACAGTTAAAAGTTATGTTCTTGAAAATTTCTGCAAATAAGCTCTTCTGAAATTACTAGAATACAGAAACAAACTAAATAGCAATGGTCGCCTTGGCATTGCTCCTTGCCAGCGAAATATCAAGTAAATAATTTCTTTATTGTTGAAAAAAGGTCACCAGTGAAATAATTTTTCTTCCATTGCCAGGGAACATAAAAAGTTAATGGGATTTTTACAAATTCCTGAACAGTAAATACTCGTACAATCATGGATATAAACAGTAAATACATAATTGATGAGTAAAAATAATACATTAAAAATATAATGAAATGGGGGCAGCATATAAAATTATTCATAGTTT